GGGCGGGGGCCCCCCCCCCCCCCCGCCAGTGCACAAATTTTTGTGCACCGGGCTTCTATTTTTCCTATAAACACCAATTATTTCTGAATGTGTGTGTTAAATTTTTTAAAAATTCTCATAAAAACATGCCAAAGAACCTCTACTTTACATATGTCTACCTCTACCTAATATATGTAAACTCTTCTACATATAATTCTGTTTATGTGAAGTAACTCATGTATACTCCTGCTCTAAACAATACTATGAAAGTAGGTACTACTGTCATCCTCATTCTACAGATGATAAACTGAGGCACTGGGTATTAAACACCAGCACAAGATGAGGCATCTGATGTGCAGCAGAGCTATATGCACAAACAGGCAGCTGACTCTAGAGTTCACAAACTTAGCCTCAATGATATACCTACTGTCTCAAAAAGAACTACTTAAAAAGATGTTCTTAATAAACAAAACATTGTATTCTTTGCACAATGATCTAGATAATTATTTTTCAAATGTTTTTTTCAAACCAACGACTTAAGAGATAAATAAGAAGACAAAATATAATCTGAAAGGATATGGTTAAAGTCAAGTCCTCTATCCCATGAATAAACTGTAGGAGCTATAGGGCAAAAGGTAAAAAAATGAAGAACAGTTCTCTACATGTGGAATTATCTGGAGCGCTAAGATAGAATCAGCATTTTACACTTGGTGTTAGTCATTAGGGGCTACACTGGTGCCTCACACAATACCTCTGCTCCAATCTGCCCAGAGAATTCCTGCAGAAAGTTCCGATCAGATGCACCAGAACTTAAGAATGTTAAACACCATGATTTCTAATCAACAATCATCATTCTAATAAAAATCTCTTAGCATTAAAAAAAAAATGTCAGGAGATCCAAGACGGCGGCAGACCAAGTGGATGTTACACTCACCTCCTCCCAAACCAACATGGAATTACAAATAAAATATAGAACAGTCAACCTGAATAACAACTGAAGACTAGCTGACTAGAAGTCTTATAACCAAGGATTTACAGGAGAAGCCACATTGAGGCTGGTAGAAAGGGCAATACATGGAAAGGGCTGGCCCCGCTCCCACAGGCGGCGGCTGAGATTCTGGTGAGTTATGACAGTTGCAAAGATTCTCCCTGAGGAGCATGGGATCTCAACCTCAGGCCAAGCTCCACAGCCTATTGCACCAGACACCTGGCTGTGAAAGTCAGTGATTCTGTCTGCCAGAAAGAGACGGGAGTCTGCAAAAGACATAGGCACCCTCCTAAAGGGCCAACGCACAAAATCTCATTTGCACTCACCCTGGGCTCTGGAGGAGGCAGGGTGGGACAGACTGGAGTTGTGTGAACAGGGACTGGGGTTGGTGGCTCTGGGGAGAGAAGTGAGGACAGCAGCCAAGACCTCTGTGCTGAGTTATTCTCTCACACCACAGACCCCATTTATCTTGGATGAAGCCCTCCCTTCTGTGTGGCATCATCCTGGGGGAAAATAATAACCCAACCCTCTAAACTCCATATCACCCCAAGCTGCAAAGCTCATGCCCTGCTGAGGAGTCAGCTGCCAGGGCCGGGGTATAGAGATCTGGGCAGACTCAGGGGGTGTCAGTAACTGAGTGGTTGGCTTTGGGACAGAGGTCATTCACTCCACTTAACCCTGGATCTGACTGGTGACTACCTCTCATGGGAGATCCTACAGCCCCGTGTTCTGGGCTCCAGGTGGCCCCACTCTCTCACTGACTAGGTCTGGGCAGAAGCTCGGACAGACTGAGCTGTGTGGCTCTGGGGCAGGGGCCAGTCCTCCTACCTTCCCTCAAGCCTGATCAGCACTTCCCCCTCATGGGAGATCCACTGGCCTCACCCTTCTGACTCTGGGCAGCCTGTCCTGTTGAGCTCAAGCTCCTGGCAGAATCTTGCACAGATTAAGTTGTGTTTCTCTAGGTTGGGGGCCATGTTTCCTACAAATGCCCCACCAGTGCAGAGCCCTCCATTCATGCAGCCAAATCTTGGTCTGTTTTGGACTGATAAACTCTGCTAGCCTCACTCCGACAACACCCTGAGACCCCTGCCCCACCACAAAGGTCAGCGGACACCCTGCAGGTAGAAGCCTGACTTGATATATCCTGGGACGTTTGCTGAATGGCCTCAGACCTAGCACGGACACTGAGTTTGAAGCTGTATCATCCTGGTGACTCACTGAGAAACTACCTCATTCAACTTCAGCAACACCAGAGGGTCTTTCAGTGACTGACCCAGCTGTCAAGTGGAGGCAGATGTCAGGGTGCCTTATGACTTTTGCTGACCTGTCCCTGTGCCAAGTGCTGGTAAAAGCAGTTTGCACACCCAGACACAGCAGAGACAGTAATCCACAAAGTGTGGATTACTTTGTAGCTCCAAACAGGTTCCCAGGGCCAGTCACAGTCAGAGTCTGAAATTGACCTGCATCAGAGTACCTACCAAGAGGTCCAAGAATCAACAAACCCAGTAGCCAGCTTCAAACAACATCAGAGCAGGATCCAACTAACTTCACAAGCAGCATAACCAAAGGAAGATCTTGGCAGGCATCAGACCCTGCTGAGGTGAATTCTGCTTCGTGTGGTCAGCATCTACAAAACAGCTCATACACTGTAGTTGGGGTCAATCCTCACAGTCAGCAACCTGAGGGTCAACCCCACAGAACTGGCCAATAGCAATCAAGACTCAATTACAACAGAAGGATCCACATAACACACACAAGAGACATTCCTTGAGCATTCATTTCAAAGGATCAAGAAAACTGTGCCAGTGGGTCCCAGAGTAAATCTACTATATAAGGCTCCCCTATGAAGAGTGAGAGCCACAGCAGATCTACATAATGCATAGAAACAAACATAAACAAGCAACCAAAATAGGGAGACAAAGAAACATGCCCCAATTAAAAGAACAGGGGAATTCTCAAGAAAAAAGAGCTAAATGAAATGGAAGCAAGGAATTTATCAAGATATAGAGTTTTAAAAAATGGTTATAATGATATACAAGGAAATTACTTAAAGTTCAACATAGAGATAGCAAGCATAAAAAAGGACATGGAAACCACAAAAATGAAGCAATCAGAAATGAAGAATACAAACAAAAAATGAATTTTAAAAAATGAGGATAGCCTGGCCAGTGTGCTCAGTGGTAGAGGGTTGGCTTATGAACCAGGAGGTCATGTTTGATTCCCAGTTAGGGCATGTGCCAGGGTTACAGGCTCGATTCTCAGTAGGGGGCTTGGAGGAGGCAGCCAATCAATCATT